TGACTTGGGTGTCATCTATACAGAGAGATGGGGGTGCTGAAGTTTATGGGCAACAATGAGCCTTCTAAAATTAAGTGTCATCTGGGCATGGTGACTCATGCCTCTAATCCCAGTGCTTTGGGAGGCCGAAGTGGGAGGATCACTTGAGGCCAAGAGTTTGAGACCATCACTGGGAACATAGTGAGATCCTGTCTTTACAAAAAAAAATCAAAAATCAAATAAATAAATAAAGTGTGTTAAGAGAGAAGAGCAACAAGCAAAGACTGCGCCCTGCCAATGCCCACTGAAATCAGGAAGTGAAAGAGAAATTGTTGAAGAAAGAGGAATAATCCTTATCACCCTTTTGGCATGGGCACAATGGTGATGTTTCTTCATTTAGGAATCCCTAAGTTTACTCTGAATCACATGAGATTTCCTTTTCAGTATTTCCGGTAGTTTATTCGCTAATTTACTTGCACTGAAACCAAATGCTTTCCTGGAAAATTGGTCTGTAAAACTATGTCACTCTCCAGGACACTTGATCCCACCATTTGCTAATGAGGAGCAAGAAAGAAGTAGTGTGCCCCCTCCACAGACTGTATTCTTAACATGTTCATCTGCCCAAGTGCTTGCCATATTTCCATTATTTTTTTCAGTCTTTCTTTTATTCTTCAACCTATTTTAAAATATGACCTTTCTCTTAGGACTTAACTACTCCTTTGTAACCTATACCAAGAGTTGCCCTACCCTCTGCATTGCAATATCATTTTTATCTCTGTAGGTAGGGAAAATCAGCTCTCTAGGATGTTCAATTAAGTTTTTCTTGGTTTGCCTATAAAAGCTATTTGAGAGTTTCTCTTAGGAACACTGTCCACAGTGGCTTGCTTATACCTTAGAATAAAACCTCTGAGCTTTCAAAACTTATCTTTCTCCTCTGCTCTCCTGTTTCTTTCAGCCCCAAATATGCAATACCGCCCTCTGAAAAGCAGGCAAGTCTCTCATGTGACACCTTCAAATAATGCAAGAAGTCATCTTTTGCCCTAAAAGAATAAAGGGAATTCTGATTCTTTTTGCTGTTTTACAATGAAATTTCACCCTTTGCTTTCTATTTATGGTTTACCAAGTCTCAATGCTATATTGCTCTTTGAGAGAGAGCAAGAAGATGATTCATATTGCTCTTTGAGAGAGAGCAAGAAGGGCTTACCCTAGTAAGCCCATAGCACATATTCAGCCTGTAAACTCAAGTTCTAGGATCTAAAACCCATTAAACATAAGTCTGTGACATACAGAGAAAAGAACAATAGCAAAAAAGGAGCCCAATTATTCTCAAGAAAATGCAGCTAGGGGAAGAGTTTTCAAAAATATTTAGGTTTTCATATGCATCTATACCAGCTCATTTTTATTCAACCTGCATTTATTGACTACTTATCATGTGCTAGGTACTTTGTTGATGCTGGACATGTAGAAATAAATAAGCTTCGTAGAATCCACCTGGATAAACAAAGAAAATGAGCTTGACCTTTCCATGGAGAAAAGTATGTATGATACTATTGGTGTTACGGAGTCCCAAAAGGATAGAACTGTCAAGTGGAATGGGCCATTAGAAGGGAAATCTAGGTCAGAAAATCAATCTAATGGAAGAATTATGTCAAGAAGGTATAAAACCCTGTGTGAAATTCAGAAGGACATTGTGGCAAGGTTATATTTAGTAATGGAGGGTTGGCAATTCATACTTCTGCTAGAAGTGCCATTCTTCCCACAGGGGAGTATCTAGTAAATCCTTGGCTTAGTTTATTGACAATTCATCCTCCATTAAAGTAAGGAAAACAATGAGAAAAACAGCTATGCCAAACATGGTTCTGATCAACATAAAAGACTGGCTGAGGGTATGGAAGAGACAGCAGTCATGAGAAAAAATGACCCTGTCACATAGTGTTGAGGAAGGGGGAGGAATTTTGAGTGGGTAGATATTTCCCTGGACTTCCCTGAGGAAGTAGCTCAAAGGATGTTTAAAAGAAGTGGAGACACGATCCATTGTCTGAGACTAAGAAGGAATATGGCTAAAGAAAAATTGGAGGTTCTACAAAGCAAAATGTTGACAAGATCATCATAAATGATCTCAAGTAGAAATAAAATGGAAAGCCAAAATAGAGACCAATGCAGGTACATAGGTACTCTGAGGAGTTCTGTTTTTGACAAGCTATCTGAAAAAAAATGCAAGGAGGGACACAAAACGAAGGACACCAAAAAGTGACACAATCTTGATAGGGAAGCAAGAATCAGCCTACGATCTGATGGGGCAAGATACCAATTCAATACTTTAACTCTGGTGTCTCCCCACCTCAACCCCTCAATCCCCATAATTGTTGTCTTGTACTCCTCCCTTAACAGCAAGCTAGACACAAGGCACCTGCCATCTCAACATTGAACACAGCATACAACCAGGAGAAAAATTAGTCCTATCCTGGGGCCTACATTGTTTTAGAGCTTGGTCAAGATGAGAGATACCCTCAGACCCTATATACTGATTGCCATATTTCTATGAGAAATTCCTGTGTGTGGTGAGGGGGAGAGTTGGAAATGGGTAGGGCGTGGTCTTCCAGATTGCATCTCCACTCCCAACTCCTCCCCCACCACACACAAACACACAAGAACTCCATGGCCATGGTGAAGTGACTGTGCAAGAAATCAAGGTGTTTGAACTCTTCTATTAAGAGGCAGAGGGCAGAAATGATGGGCTATAGAGACATCACCACCTATCACAACTCATTTTAGATAGTTTCAATGGGAAGGTCCCTCACTGTGCTTTATTAAACCACAAATCAGCATAAATTCTAGACAAAGGAATGTCTCACAGAAATGTGGCAATCATTATACAGTCTCTTCTATTTTTGCAAGAGATGGATGTTTATCTTCTGGAAAAGGGGTTTACAGATCTTACTATGACCTACTTTAGAACAATAGTTAACATCATAAATTGATGTTATTTGCTTTTCCCAAAAAATAAAACCCTAATCATATTAATTGCATAATAGTTTCTCTAGAGTATTGTTCAAAGAATGAAGTATAATTGGCGGAAGACATTGATCCTTCCTTCACACAGAAAACAGAGCTCATGTGCAATAATTACACATGGGCTGGATTTGCACCAGTTTCACTGTGCAATCACTTAATGGTTGGATGCCACTTAATGGTTGGATGCCAATGTGAAAAGAAGCTTCTAGTGGTATCTCAAAGGAATTTATTCTTTTTTTTTTAAGTTTAACAATGACTGGGATAAAAACATGGAAATCATAAATAACTGTAATATACAAGCAAAATAAAGCTGGTGGGAATAGACAATATTGCAGACAGTAGAATCAAAATATTAAAATGTCTCAACTGATTGGTAAAGTGGGCTGAAATAAAAAAACAACTGAGAAAAAAACAAATTCTCACATTGAGGCTAGAAAAAATACATTTTTTTCAAATCTAGATCATGTAAAAATGTCTTAAGAGCAGATCTCATGAAAAAATGCTAGGTGTTTACATTGGCTAGAATGTCAACATGGATGAGATTAAAAAGATCAATACATTTTATTTGCAGTGAGAGGGGATCAATGTACTTGAAAGGTACATTAATGGCATACCTGATATCCACATCCAGGGAAGTACTTGTCTCAACTGTGCTTTACCATGATCACAACTCACTGGGGTGTTGTATTGAATTCTTCATACCTCATTTCAACATTGACAAGCATTTAGAGTTGGGCAAGTAGGATTGCTAGGAACTAATTTAGGCAATTTTTATATACCCACAGTCACTCTATAAGAAAGGAACAGCCCCTGTCCCATTCAATGTAGTCCTGGTGAGATTATCTGTCATTGTACTCACTCTAGCCTATTCTCCAGAATGATTGCTCCAGGCACTGAATGTGACTTATGGATATTAAAGGCTCCAGAGTTTTTCATCATTGTTATCAGAGGCTATAAGATATAGGCTTGGGGCAGCCAGCCACAAACTTTCTGGCCATAAGGAGCCTGTTGCCAGCAGAGGAGAGTTAGGTCAACATGCCTGGAGAAACCGAGATGGTGGTGTGCTGGAGTCAGCTCATATTGGCTCACAAGCATCAACTGTTAAATTTTCAGGAGATTTTGTGAGCCGGTCATTAAAGACAGCCATGATTAAAAAGCAAATTATATAAACTTACAATTAAATAAATTATAGTAAAAGCAAAGATAGTACATATTCAAAACTCATTTCCTAACTATTTGACTGCATTTTATTATTATCTATGTTCCTGGAGTTAGTTATACCTTTTGTTATAAAACAAAAAAAAAGTTTTTTTGGAACTTATATAGTATTTTGGTGGAAATGCTACATAATGGTGTTTTACTGCACATTTTTTCTCAATTCTGTGTTCAGTGACATTTACATTGGCAGCTTGAAATTACCCATAGTGGGAATATTTATACAATGAAAATTTTCAAACACTGCAAGGCTTAATTTATTATTTTGTTGGTTTTCTAAACCAAAGTTCACAAGTTTTTTTTGTAAAAGACCAGACAATAAACATTTCAGGGTTTGCAGGTCATATAGTCTCTGTCAGAACTCCTCAACTGTGCCATTGCAGTGCAAAGGCAGCTATAGACAATACGTAAACAAAGTCAGTGTGGCTGTGTTCCAAAAAACTTCATTTACAACAAACAGACAGCAGGCCAGATTAGGACCACAGGGCATTTTGCCAATCCCCTATCTAAAGTTAACAGTGATGGAAAAATTGTTAGTAATGCAGATTAAACTTTAAAATGTGTCATCTCTAAAGATGCTACATAAACAGAACAAAAAAGAAATAAAATATTCTATTATCCAAAAACTATTATCTGGTTGAGCAAAGTTGTTAGTCTTTGCAAAAAACGTAAAGTTCCCATATATGTCTTTATTGTTTCACTTTCTTTTTTATCTGTGTGAGTCTCTGTGGGCCATGACAAAATACCATAGACCGGATGGCCTAAACCACAGAAATTTATTTCTCATTGTTCTGGAGCCTAGAAGTCCAAGATCACGGTGCAGATAGGTAGGTTTCATTCTAAGGTCTTCTCTCTTGGGTTGTAGGTGGTCTCCATCTCACTGTGTGCTTAGATGACTTCTTCGAGTCTGAGAATTCTCCCTCCCTCTTCCTCTTCTTTTAAGGCCACCAGTGCTATCAGATTAGGGCCCCACTTTCATGACTTCCTTTAACTTAATTACCTCCTTATAGGCCCTATCTACAAATACAGTCTCCTTAGGGGTTAGGGCTTCAACAAATAAATTCGAGGAGGACACAGTTTAGTACATAGCATTGTCTTTCTTGTAAATGAAAATATCCACTAACATTCAAGTCAGAATTATACTGGTTCTTCAAAAACAACCATATTTGTTTACAGATACAAGAGTTTAACAAAAATAAACAAAAGTATCCTATGAGAATAAATTAGCTGTATCAAATTTACATAAAGAATATTAGGCCGGGCGCGGTGGCTCAAGCCTGTAATCCCAGCACTTTGGGAGGCCGAGACGGGCGGATCACGAGGTCAGGAGATTGAGACCATCCTGGCTAACACGGTGAAACCCCGTCTCTACTAAAAATACAAAAAACTAGCCGGGAGACGTGGTGGGCGCCTGTAGTCCCAGCTACTTGGGAGGCTGAGGCAGGAGAATGGCATAAACCTGGGAGGCGGAGCTTGCAGTGAGCTGAGATTCAGCCACTGCACTCCAGCCTGGGTGACAGAGCGAGACTCCGTCTCAAAAAAAAAAAAAAAAAAAAAAAGAATATTAGATATTATTCTTTGTAAATTGTGCTATACATTCCTTATATTAGTAAAATTTATAATAACTTTGTGTATGTATGTACGTACATACATTTTTTCCCCAGAGACTTAGTTGTTAAACACTTACCAACCCAACAAAAGCAGAAAACAGTAAAGAGAAAGATGAGTAAAGAGCCCAGGGAACAGCATTTGAGCCCTTTTTGTAATTGGCAGCTCCACCCTTGTACTTTCCAGTTACATGAGCAAGTAAATTCCTTTCATTGTAGTTTCTTAAAACTAATTTTAATTGGATTTCTGCCATTTGCCCCCAAGAATCTTGACTAACACTATGTGTCATAGACAAGTTCAGGGAACCTATATATATATATATGTGTATATATATATTTTACTTTCTCTCTCTCTCTCTTTTGAGTGCTGAGAGAGAGGTTCCTGTAAGCTGAAGATCCAGCCCACATTTTTAAAAAGTCAGATAAGTCTTTAAGTATAAGGGATTAACAAACTCTATTCTAAAACTCTGGATTTTGCATTGCCAGCTCTACTGCTTCTCTGACTCTGCACTCATGTTTCACTTTCACAAAAGGGTTCAAGCTAGGTGTGGTGGCCCATGTCTGTAATCCCAGCACTGTGTGAGGCCAAGGCAGGAGGATCTCTTGAGCTCAGGAGTTTGAGACTGGCCTAGGCAACATAATGAGACTTCATTTCTACTAAAAATTTTTTTTTTAATTTTTTTTGGTTAATGCCTCAATAAAGGGTCATTTTCTGAGCCTTGATTCTCATTTTTCACCCAGTTCTGCAAATGAGTATCTTCCCGTTCTTGCACCTGATTGACTTGCCTGGTGTCAGTACCTTTAGGACCGGCCCTGCCTTTTCCTTACCAGATGCTCCCAGATGTGGCATTTGTACCTGAGGCTCAGCTGCTGGAAGACAGTATGCCCTGTACTGCCAGCTGCCATTAGCTTCCCAGCAGCCTGTTTCCAATTTCCCATAGCAGTGCTCCAGTGGGGATGAACTCTGCTGGTCCTCTCTGATGTAAATTGCTGTTCTCAACAATGCCCTCCAATCTGTAATGTGGCCCACTGGACACGGGATTCTGCCTGCCACAGGAGACCCCTTCCCGGAGTCTGCTGCTCAATGGAGCCGACCCTGCTGACTCTCCCCAGTAAGGCCCTTCCTTGCAGAGCCAACTCCTCCCAGGCCCCTGCTGCAGCTGGTCAAGCCAGGCCCTGACAAATCTCTTTTCAAAACTGTAACACCTGGTGTCATCTTGTGCTCAAAACAGAATCATATGCTGCAGTTTGGAACCCAGTTATGTGACTGTCTTTAACTTAGGACTTAGAGTTCTGCTTGAACACATTGAGAATAGTTCTGCCTGTGAAAAAGACATTTTTAATACTCTCTAAATTTGTTGTTAAAAGACAAATTGGGCTGGGCGTGGTGGCTCATGCCTGTATCCCAAATATTCAGGAGGCTGAGGCGGGAAGACCTCTTGATCCCAGAAGTTCAAGGCTGCAGTAAGCCATGATTGCACTATGGCACTCCAGCCTGGGCAACAAAGCGAGACCCTGTCTCAAAAAAAAAAAAAAAAAAAAAAGAAGAAGAAGATGCTGGGAAAAATTTTTAATAAAAAATGATGCTGAAGGGGGAAGCAATCTTTAACAGATAAGACTCATTCAAGATCCACAAATATAATGATGTAATTATTACAATTGAGGGTTTCTTTCTCAAGCCATATAGGACTTCCATTGGGGATTTCCCCACAGTAATGCGGTTTCTTTTAGTTTTTCCCTGAAGCAGCTGTGCTAGACTTTTTTTGTACGACAGCTTACTTGATGAATGATATTTAAATCTGCAACACTCCCACAGGCATGTCCAGATTTTAATGAGTCAAAAACAATTTGTGTGTGCAGAAATAAAGTGCTACAATGATTTTTAATGGCCGGAGCTATTAAATGTAGATCAGTAATAGAAAGGCAAGACTATCAGCTATGTGTAATTTCTGATACATTCGCGATCATTCCACATTTTTTTCTCCCACTCAAGAAAGTGTTATGGGTTTTATTATTATTATTGTTGTTATTATTATTTGACACAGGGTCAGTCTGTTGCCTAGGCTGGGGTGCAGTGGTGGGATCACAGTTCACTGCAGTCTTGACCTCCCCAACTCAAGCGATCCTCCCGCCTCAATCCCACAAGCAGCTGGGACTACAGGCACATGCCACCATATCCAGCTATTTTTCTTTTTTTAATTTTTTTGTAGAGACAGGGCCTCCCCATGTTGCCCAGGCTGGTCTCAAACTCCTGGGCTCAAGCAATCTTCCCACCCCAGCTTCCCAAAGTGCTGGGATTACAAGAGTGAACCACCACACCTGGCCAAGCACTATGGATTTTAGATTATTGAGAGTTATGTTATTCTGCAGAGTAACCTTGAATCCATTTGCATCTATTTTTTTAAGTAAAATATTTGCAAGCTTAAGAACTCTGGCTCCTATCAGTTATACGTCACTGTGACACACCTCACAAGTGGCTGAGGGTCAGTCTTGGGACATGGGCCATCACATAACAACAGGAAAGAAGGGGGAAAGAAACAAAAGCCATTTTGTAGGAAATAGAACAAGGTGGGGAAGAAAATAGGGGGTAAAAAAGAAAAAGAATTTGGAAGGAGATGTGGAATGTTAGAATACCAGATCATTTGACTTCCCTCAATTTAGCAGCTATGGTTTAAAAACAAGGAAAGCAAATCAACTTTGTCCTTTATCCAGAAGAGTCACAAGTCTGGGTGTGGGGTGAGGAGATGGCCTCAGTTGGGGCCAGCATGTCCTAGAACTTCTTGTGAGTGTGAAAAGGAAAAAGGAGAGAAGACACACTTTTGTCAGCCAGTCTTAAGTAGCTAAAATGCTTTCCTCAACCTACTGAGAAAAAAGTTAGGATTCACCATTTTAGTATAAAATACCCTCACTCATTTAAAAATACATTTTCTAAAAATTTCCCCTTTCAAAGCAAGACATCTAATTTGAAAAACTCATATCACAACTTTTAACTGTAATATAAATTAAGTGATTTGGTAGGAATTTTAACATTAGAACATGGGTACATGTGACGATATTGGCAGGGAACAGCTGGCACACTCAAAGGGTTAATGAGTAGACGTTTAACAAAGGGACTATTCACAGAGGTGGGAGCAGAGTCAAGAGGAAAACAAGGGGAGTGAAGCACCCTGGATTGGCAGCACTGGGCAGCCTTCACCATCATGAGACCTCAAGGGAGCAGGGGAGGAGAATTGAGCAGATCTTGAGCACAGCTGCAGAGCTGTGGGAGGGAGGGGGTGCCTGACTGGAGCCACAGCTGAGAGCAGAGGAAGGCAGCCCTAGCCAAGAACAGACAGGCAAAGAGGGTGCAAGGGGTAGTGGAAGAGGGGCAAGATTCAGGACCTCATGGTGCTCACCACTGGCTAATCCCAATCAGAAGCCAGAGGGAAAGAGAACCAGAGTGATGGAGCCTCCGTAGGCCCTGAAGAGATGGAGGGCCATTCAAATACAGAGAATGTATTTGAAGATGGAGAATAACCTGCTTAGGGAGTTTCTGCATTGCCTTCTCCCATTCTTATTCCTGCCTCTTCATCATGCTGAACAGTCATTGACAGTGTGAGTGGAAAGGAAGAATTGGCAACCTATGATTTCCAGAATTTGCAACACTCACCATTTTGATTTGGGGCACACTGCTCTACTAAAGCGGAAAAATTTACACTCAAAATAAAGATGTCAGTAGGTTCAAGAGGTAACCTAGGCAGTCTGGATCAAAATTTGGTGCCTTGTTTCTAAAGCATAAATGTGGTCTAGACATATGGTTTTGAATAGAATCGGTTTCCTACAGACAAAAGGCCATGAAGATCAACAAATTGTTCTTAACTACTTCCACTTAACTTAATTGCATGAGGCTGCATTATCTACACAGCTGAAGAGATGTACTTACAACTTGGATGTGGCTTTCTTTGTTCATCAACTTTGAAAAGGCTTAGAATAAAGATTGTTTTTTCTTGTAGTGAATTTCAATATGTCAAAGAATAACTCAGCTTGAAATGAATAAGCCCCAGTAGGTTTTGCTTCAATATAAGAATTAAATGATTTTATTCTGATATATAGGCAATCTATAAAGAGTCACAATTTGATGCCTGGTGCAAAGTTTTACTTTTTAAATAGTTGTCATTCTATTTGTATCTTTCATGATGCTGAGAGAGCAAAGTAAAAGGAGGCTGTGCTGTTATCCTGACCTGACAAGTCTTAATTCAAATTTCGTTAAAGTTTACTACACACTTAACACATTTTTATTATAAAGTTTATAATATCTAGTAAAAAGTTGTAGGTGAAAAAACAAGTTCTAAGTTCAAATATGGTTAGGATGTACATGATTAGACAAATATAAATGAATTTGTTGCTATGGAATTTCTCATATCTGTCATATTTTAACATGATGTACTTATACAAGGGGGCTAATGGGTGTAGCCCTCCCAGGTTTCCTTAACCATCAAACGCTTGTGTCACACATCATCTTGTAAGATTAATGTTTCATAGAATGTTTTTGAAGCACTCTTTTAACAGGAGGTCTCCAAGTTCCTATTTCTGTAGTAACAGTGTATAAATGCTGAGCAATATTAGTGGTGAGACTAGGTTTTTAGGAATGTCTATGGGCTGATGGAAGCATCTCCTGGGTGTAGAATCAGAAGAATTAAGTTTATTCCAAACTTAGTTGCACTTGGTTGTACTACTTACTAGCAGAGACACACTGGGTAAATCAATATGACTTTTCTGAGACTCAAATTTCCTCATCTCTAAGATAAATGATCCTTACCTCAATAGGTCTTTGAGAAGGTTTTCAAGTAGCTTAGGACTTCCACAAAACATTAAATATATCCCTACCATAATGATGAAGACTTTCTACTCCCAGGTATTTATTCAAAGAAAGAAAGGCATAAGTCATATAAGAATGTTCATGGTAGCTTTATTTGTAATAGCCAAAGGTAGAAATTACTCAAATGTTCATCAACATGGAATGAATAAACAAATTGTGGTATATCCATACAATGGAATATTACTCAGCAATGAAAAGAACTGAACTATTCATACACACAACAACTTGGATGAATCTCAAAAATTTCTCACCAGTGAAATAGGCAAGACAAAAAGCATACATACTATACCATTTTATTTCTGTAAAGGTATAAAAAACTAAACTATAGTAACAGAGAAAGGATCTGTGGCTTCTATGGTTGCCTGGGGACTAAGGGAAAGGGGGCAACAGGAAATGGTGGGAGGGGAGAATTACAAATGGGGTTATGAGTAAACTTTTGGGAATGACAGATGTGTTCACCATCTTGATTGTTGTGACAATTTTGTGAGTGTATGCATAAGTCAAAATTTTTCAAATTTTACATTTTAAGTACTTGCAGTATATGAGAGTTTGGGTTTCTCCACATCCTCCTCATATTTGGTGTGGTCTTTCTAATTTTGTCAATTTAATAGATATGTGGTGATATCCATGACAGTTTGAATTTGCATTTCCATAATAACTACAGATGTTGAGCATGTTTTCCTGTGCTTATTTGCTACCAATATATTTTCTTTGGTGAAGTGTCTATTTAATTTTTTTTTCCCTTTTTTTATTTGGTTGTTTTTTCTCTTATTGTCGAATTTTGAGAGTTTTTAGATATTTTTGATATGAGTTATTTATCAGATACATGATTTGCAAATATTTTCACCCAGTATGTGCTTTTGGTATTTTGTGCAAGAAATCTTTGCTTAACCCAAGGCTGCAAAAATTTTATCCTATGTTTTCTTCTAGAAGTATTATAGTTTTGGGATTTTACACTTAGGTCTACTGTTCACTTTGAGTTAATTTTTGTATGTGGTACAACATGTGGATCAAAGTTCATTTATTTTGCACATGGATATTCCCTTTTTTCCAGAACCATTTGTTGAAAGGCTACATTTTTGTCCAAGAACTGGGCTTTAAACTTTGTCAACAACCACGTTTTCATTTATGTTTGGGTCTGTTTCAGGACTCTGTTCTGTTCCCTTGGTCTACTTGTCTAACTTGACTCCAGTACCACAGTGTCTTGCTGCAGCTTCATACACTTTGAAATCAGGTAATGTTTAGTGTTCTCAACTTTTTCCTTCTTTTCAAAATTGTTTTAACTAGTCTAGGTCCTTGGCATAGCCATATAAATGTCAGAATCAGCTTGTAAATTTGTACCAAAAAAGTGTGTGAAGATTTTGATTGAGATTGTGTTTAATCTACAGATCAATTTGGGGAGAACTTTAACTTAGCAATATCAAGTCTTCAATACCATGATATCTTTATTTATTGAGATCTGCTTTAATTTATTTTGGCAATGTTTTGTAGCTTTCAGCATATAGGTCTTGCACATATCTTGTCAAATTTACATCTATGTATCATATTTTTATGCTACTGTAAGCAGCACTGTTTTATTTAAATTTCTGATAGTTGGTTGCAAGTACATAGAAACACAACTGATTCTTGCTTGCTGATCCTGTATCCAGCAACATTGCTCATTTATTAGTTTTAGGAGCTTTTCAAGATTTGCTCAGATTTCCTATGTAAGCTATCACATTATCTGGGAATAAAGGGAGTTTTACTTCTTCCTTTCCAATCTGAACATCTTTTATTCTTTTGTTTATTTATTTTTTCATTATTGCCCAAGCTAGAATCTCAAGCACACTGTTAAATAGAAGTGGTGAGAGCAGACATTCTTGTGTTGGTCCTGACCTTAGTGAGAGAATATTCAATATTTCATCATTAAGTATGATGTATGCTATAGTTTATTTCATAGATTCCCTTTATCAAGTTAAAGACATTCCCTTCTTATCCAAATTTGCTGAGAGATTTTTAATGAGAAACAGATGTCATGTTTTGTCAAATGTTTTTCTGTGCCTATTCGGTCTGTTTACATAGTGAATTACATTAAGTTGATTTTCAAATGTTAAATTCTTGGATTCCTCAGATAAATAGCATGTGGTCATGTTGTGGTCTCCTTTTTCTAAATTATTACATATGATTCCCGAAGTTTTATTTAGGATTTTTGCATCTATGTTCATGAGGGTTATGAGTCTGTAATTTTTTTGTCTTGTAATATCCTAGGTTCTAGAATCATCATACCTTATAGAATGAATTTCCTCCTCTTCCATTTTCTCAGAATGTTTGTGTAGAATGGGTAGTTTTTACGTCCTTAAATATTTAATAGAATACACCACTGAAGCCACATGGGCCTGGAATTTTCTTCGTGGGAAAATTTTAAACTAAAACTTCAATTTCTTTCATAGATTTAGGGCTATTCAGATTATCAGATCCATGCTGAGAGAGTTTTGGTAGTTTGTAATTCTAGGCAGTTTTTCCATTTCATTCAAGTTGGTGAAGATATTAGCGTAAAGTTGTTAATAATACTCCCATATTGTCCTTTTAGTATCTGTAGAATCTGCAGTTATGTCACCTAACTCCTGACTTGATTGCTTCTTTCTTTTTTGTTTCTTATCAATCTGCTGAAGGTTTGGCAATTTTATTGATCTTCTTAAAGAATTAGCTTCTGTTTTCATTGATTTTTTTTCTATTTTCTATTTCATTGACTTCATCTAAGATTTTATTATTTCTTTTCTTCTGTCCACTTTGGATTTTATCTTTTCTAGTTTTTGAAGTTAGAAGCTGAAGTCAATGATTCTAGACCTCTCTTCTTTGATAATAGGGGCTTTTTGCTTTTGTGGTATCTCACAAAGTTTGAAATATTTTTATTTTTATTTTTATTCATTCAAAATGTCTTTTTTTTGTTTGTTTGTTTTTTGAGACAGAGTCTCGCTCTGTCGCCCAGGCTGGAGTGCAGTGGCACAGTCTCGGCTCACTGCAACCTCTGCCTCCCAGGTTCACACCATTCTCTTGCCTCAGCCTCCCGAGTTGCTGGGACTACAGGAGCCCACCACCACACCAGCTAATTTTGTTTAGTAGAGACGAGGTTTCATGGTGCTAGCTAGGATGGTCTTGATCTCCTGACCTTGTGATCTGCCCACCTCAGCCTCCCAAAGTGCTGGGATCAAAATGCTTTCTAATTTCCTTTTTGATTTCTTCTTTGACCCATGGGTAACTTAAAAGTATGTTATTTAGTTTCCATATATTTGGGTGTTTTCCAGAGGTCTTTCTGTTTTTTGTTTCTCATTTAATTCCATTAACATCAGTTAATACATTTTGTATGACTTGAACTTTTTAAATGTATTGAGACTGGTTTTATGGCCCAGAATATGATCTGTCTCTGCAAATATTCTTTGGGCAATTGAAAAGAAGGTATCTTTTGCTCTCATTAAGTGGAGTTTTCTATACGTGTCAATTAGGTCAAGTTGGTTGACTGTTGCTCTTCTATATTCTTACTGATTTTCTCTCTACTTGCTCTATCAATTATCAGGAGAACAGTATCAAAATTTCTGGCTATATTGTGGATACATATACTTCTGTTTGCACTTCTCTCAGTTTTTGCTTCATATAATTTGGAACTCTGTTGTTAGGGGTATGAATATTTAAGATTGTTAGGTCTCCTGATAAATTGTCTAATTTCTTATTAGGAAATTACCTTTCTTATGCCTGGTGATATTATTCCATTTTATCTCTTGTGTTGGCTTACTAGCTGTAACTCTATGTTTCATTATTTTAGTGGTTGCTTTAAGATTCATCGTACACATCTTTAAATTACATAGTCTACCTTCCACTGATATTATACTACCTCATGTATAGCATAAGAACCTTACAGTAGTATACTTCCACTTGTCTTCTCCTAGCTTTTGAGCTATTTTTTTTTTTTGAGACGGAGTTTCACTCTTGTTGCCCAGGCTGGAGTGCAGTGGCGTGATCTCAACTTACTGCAACCTCTACCTCCCAGGTTCAAGCTATTCTCCTGCCTCAGCCTCCCGAGTAACTGGGATTACAGCCATGCGCCACCACACCCTGCTAATTTTGTATTTTTAGTAGAGATGGGGTTTCTCCGGATTCATCAGTCTCATCTTGAACTCCCGACCTCAGGTGATCCCAACCTCAGGTGAACTGCCTCAGCCTCCCAAAGTGCTGGGATTATAGGCATGAGCCACTGCGCCTGGCCAAGCCTTTGTTTTTATATAATTTACTTTTACATATTGTAAACTCTACCTTATATTGCTATAAGTTTTGTTTAACCAGTCAATTATTTTATACATACATTTGAATAATGTGATAAAAGAAATTCATGTAGTTACCATTGACGGTGCTTTTCATTCCATTTTGAAGATCCACATTTTTATCTGGAATTACTCCTTCTGCCTAAAGGAGTTTAACATTTCTTACAGTGTGGGCCTGCTGGTAATGAATTGTTTTTAGTTTTTTTGTCTAAGAAGTCTTCAGTTTTTATCTTCATTTTAAAAAAATATTTTAGCCAGGTATAGAATTCTAGGTTGACTTTTTTTCTTTCAATACTTTAAAGACATTACTCCATGGTCTTTCTGTTTGTTCTATGCCCAATGAGAAAATTACTGTTATCTTTATTCCTTAGTATATCACATGCCTAAAATAAATCATGTATTCATACCAATATAATTTGAATTTCAGATTATTAAGTTTTACTTAACATTTTGGGGTTTATATTTTATGTATTTTTTTATACTGAAAAAAATCTTGGCTCCTAATAGTAAATTATTTGCATACACACATATGTGTATGTATTAATAGTTCTAAAGTAACAATATAATTATTACTACTAGCAATAATACTACTTAATGCAGATTAAGAATTCTTTCCTTTTTCCCCCTTCTAGAATATATGGTAGTAGAAAGTTACAGTCAAAATACTATGCTTTAAAGTCACTTGAAATAATTTGTCTTCATATTGTTATGAGTACTAAGTGATACACATTTGATGTTTGTTTATTTCAGTTTTTTTTTTTTATTTTTAGTGATTTACTCTTTAAGAATTTTAAATTGTGTAAAATATTAACTTTTAAATGATGTGAAATATTAACACAGTTCCAAAGTAGCATTATGCTGGTAAATGTTTATAAATAAAAGACTGGATTTTTGTCAATTTTTATGGTATACATATTACCACCATGACTGATTTTGAGTTATCAATGTTATAACAGTTAATGCAGAATTTGGAAGAATTTGGTAGTACACCATTATATAGGAGTTCTACCATGCATATATGACACATATAAAGCTCAGTAGCACAGATAATTGTAAAATGTATAAAAATAATTAAAACATGAGTTTTAAGTATTTATTGTCTTTTTAAATATAATTTATTTCATATTAAGTTACATAATTTAATCTTTGATAATAGCTGTTTCATAGCTGGCTCACAAAATTCCTGAAAATTAAACTGGCTCTTGCCAGCTGGTATAAACTGGCTTTAGCACACACCTCTGTTTCAAAGTAAAAACCACAAAACAAAGTAAATTCAGAAAAGGATTGCTTTCATGTGCTTTCTATCCCATTTCCTCCTATATGAGAGGTAATTGTTTTCGTCAGATTTGGTCTCATCCTTTCATGGTTTATTTTTGAAAATATAAGCAAATACAATTATATAGTTCCTTAACCAAAAGATAGCACACAATAAACACAGTTCTGCTCCGCTTGTAGGTTAGAATCTTGATTCCTGTTAAATTGCAACTCTTCTAGGAAAAATAAAGAGGTGAATGTGAAATAAAGAGGTGCATGTTAAACTATCACTAGTTTCATACTTCAGTAGAAATTAGTTTCCTTGTCTTTTTTGAGAGCTGAGGAGTGTCTGAATGGGAATGGAAAAGTTTTCTTTGAGAATAGGGATGAATTCAGGAATCTGGGAGCATCACAGGCAAACTTTACAATTTTACTTGGCATCAGAGGAGTGGGAAGGCAGGCGCTGGCAACCTGTTGAGGTGGCGAGGCTGCATGGATGAGTGCTCAAGTGCTGGCTTATACAGTATAAATCCAGCTACTTTCATTGTTATAAAACGTCTTGCCATCAGAGGGGGTAGAGTTTTATGTTTTAGTTGGACTTCTCAGCTGAATTAAATGTGATAAGGCTGTGCTTATCACCCTTGTGAAAGTCATTTCTGCAATATTTACACAAACTCTATGAGAC